AAAAAAAAAAAAGAGGAAATTAATAACGCCGTGAATATAACGAAGGTGTGGACGATCGTTACTCTTATCACAGAACAATATTACAATATGCTCGCTGTAAAAGGCATTATTATTATTATTATTATTATTATTATTATTATTGTTATTATTATTATAATCGGTGTGATAGGTGGAAATGCACAACGTCTCTGGCTCCGTGTAATCTCGTATATTACACATTATTACGGTAAACACAATATTTATAATCGTAATAATAATCCATGATAATAATGGCAATAATGATAATCATAATAAGGCTAGCTACAGGGTGGCCGCTGCCGCGCGATCCCGAGGGGCCACCACGTTTCCCTGATCGATTCGATCGGCCGGCTCGACTGTACACGACTTTTACAACATACTCGAATAATTAATCTAATTTTACACTGTAATCATTAGACAATTCATTACAATTATGAACCTAGTCAGAAGAACGTCACGACACGTAGGAAGGATCGCACACCTCCCTTTCCCTCAGCTCACATCTTTTTCGTCTACCGTTAAATAGATTATCATCAACAAAATTTCACATCCTCAAGGGAAAAATACCGAAAGGAAAAAGAAATATCAATGATGCGATGTTTCATTACGGAGAATTCTGTATAGAAAGTGAGAAATTATGTCGAATGACGCTATATTAAAAGGAAAAATATCATGTCTTCTTGATTCATTCGCGGCTGACCTTCTTTTTTGAATAAAATTATATTTAATAATAAAAAATTTTTTTCTTAAAATCTTCAGTATTTTTCAATCAAACTCCAAACTTTCTATAAATAATTCTAGTGTATATTCAATTCGTATATATAATATTAATTTAAATTTAAAAAAATAAAAACATTTTTTTTTAAATTACACCGCAATTACAACTTATTATAACTAAGAATTAATATAATTTTCTCGATGAGGATGCTCGGAAAATTTTGCTCCTAGTCGAATCACAAGTCAATCGCTTTCTCCGAGGGACGAAGGAGGGAGGGGACTTTTCTCCATTTAAGATACAAAGGCACTGATACACGTAATGAACATACAATTAGAAGAGCGCTAAAAGGGCGGT